CATCATCTTCCACTGCATTGACATTGTTTTCACAATGTTTCAACCAAGTCTTGTACATAGTGCAACATAAACTTCCTTTTACAACTAGTAAAGACCCATCAAGAAGCTTCCATGGTTCATCCTTTTGCCGACTCTCATATCCTTCCTTATCAAGGACATTGATGGAAGTCAAGCTTATTCTCAAATCCGAAATGTGTCTCAAATTCTTCAAAGTCAATGTGCAACCAGTACTGGTCTGAAAAACAATGTCACCAATCCCCACAATCTGCGACACACTCTTGTTTCCCGTCCTGGTTTCACCAAAGTCTCCTGCTTTGTAAGTTGTAAACAACTCCCTCTTGGGAACACAATGATATGTCGCGCCTATGTCAACAATCCATTCAATAGATGGATCAGCTACATGGTTACAATCACCATGTCCACAAGTCAATGACACTGTCTCCTCATTAGAAACAACTACAGTCACATTGCTTTCTTGTCTGGAGCAGAGTTAGTGACCGTAACAACTGACATATCCCAACTCTCCGACATAGAATCCAATAGATACAAAGCATTTACTTCTTCACTAAGATCAATCTTCATAGTCAACAACAGATTTAACATCTCCTGGTAGTCACTCAAGTACTCGGCCATGGATTATCCCTCTTTATACTTCATATTGGAAAGCTTTCTGACTCCAAAAGCCTTGTTCGCTTTTCCTTTCATACAATGCAGCCAATTTTTCCCAAGCAGCATGAGTGCATTTCTCTTGCGCCACATGGTGAAAGACACTAATGTCAACCCATTTTCTTATTGTGCCCAACGATTTCCTGTCAAGTTTTTTCCAATCATCATCTTACGTATCTTTTGGTTTACCCTAATCACCCAATATGGGATCATACAAGTCCTTGCAGTATAGATGATCCTCCATCATCGGTTTCCAAAATTGTAATTTGTAGCTGTTAGTTTCATTATGGAACCACTATCACTCTCCATGATTCAAAGCTGTAACCTAGCTCTGATACTAGTTGTTGAGAAGGCCCTGCAATAATATGCACGTGCGGAAGCAAAACAACTACCAATCGCACAGAAAACAAACCAACAACAATATCCAAACCAATGATCCAAAGAAGTTAAAATAAATTAATCCACCAAGCAAATATATCTCAACCAAGCAAGTAGAAATCCAAATTGGCAAGAATTAAAGAAAAATAAAGAACACCAAATTTATGTGGAGAACCCTTCAATGTGAAGGGAAAAACCATGGGGCAAAACCGGATAAAAATCCACTATGAGAAATAAGTAATTACAATAGTTCAAGGCTAAGCTAATTGCCCAAAGCTTAAGCACCAACAAATTGGAACAAAAATACAAGGATCACCTCTTTGGATCACCAAGAAATCAATCCCAAAGAAACCCAATTTGTTGCCCTTATCTCTCACCCTTACTCTCTCTATGGAGTAAGAACCAAAGTCACGTCGCACTCTCTTACAAGCTTCTTGCAAGATCCCACAAAGAGAAAAAATTGATGCTCACTTGTTTCACGTGGTGCGGCGCCAAGGTTGACAAAGCTAATATATCAAATTGCGCTGCTCACAATTCCCGAATTGATAAATACAATTCCACCAATAATTGCCGCCGCTTAGCCTTTGCTTTCAATTGACAAACTCAATATATATATATATATATATATATATATATAGCTAACGTAAAAGTCAGTTAACAAAACCCTTTCCATCTTTAATTTTGACCATTGGATGATTTGATTAAAATCAAATCCTAGCCATCCAATTATATTAAAGTTTTATGAGGCCCACTTGAAACCAAGAGTGGGGTTGGACCCAGATGGGCTACAAGCCCAACACTATTATCGTCAAGGGGAGGGAGAGTCTTGATTTTAGATTTTAGATTTTAGATTTTTTATTTTTGAATAAAGTCTCTAGGTTCCAAAGTCTCAAATCGGTTGAGTTTTAGTAAGAATTTGTTTTTTGAGTCACTTTGTTTTTTTAGTAGATTAAATATTATTAGAGATTATGAATTTATTTTGTGATTTATCGGTCAATCAATTGGGTTTTCAAATCAATCACACCTTCATTGCAAATAAAAATTCTTATGAGTTGAAGCGAAAAAGATGGGGTGATGGACATGTTAGAGACTTACGTAGAAGATTTAAGATACTAAATTGCATAGAAGAAAAATAAAAAAAAATGTATAAGAGCATTTTTGTGAAAGAAATTAAATTGAAGGGATCAATTATACATAAAGAAATAATATAAGGACTAAATTGACTAAAGCACAAAGTTTTGAGGATTGTTCAATAAATAAACCATTAATTATGGGCAAACATACTCTCACCCACATGTCGGCTTGCCCTTAAAAGGGCTTCCTATTATATATACACAAGTACCCAACTTAAATTTTCCTTCATTTTTCTCAAATATTCTCAGCAACCAAGCATGAGGCATTGAAAATTGAAATAGTAAGAAAATTCCATGGGAAAATAAAATAAAATAGAAAAGAGCTTGAACCCTTTGATAAACCCTGAGAAGTTTATAAAAGGGAAGAGTTGAAACCACCAAGCATCAACCGGATTACGTTTGGACTTCATGGTTAAGAATTTACTTTGAATATTCTTTGAAAGGTGAAGAGAATATTGAAATGTTTAAAATTTTCCTGTTGTTTTCTAGGAGTTTTTTTGGTGAAAAGTGATCTTTTTACCCCCATTTTTTTGCTACTTAATGGAGCCTGATGCAAACAAGTTTGATGAAATGACCAAAATACCTCTCTCCATTTATACTTGGATCAATGTGCTTAAATTTTTAGATTGGTTTTTTGGTCATTTCACTTCTTATTATTAATGTTTTGTTATAATATATATATATATACATATATATACAGGAAAAAGAATAAATAACAACACAAATCAAATGAGAAAAAAAAACAGAGACTCACCAACATAGAGAGGCAGAATCAGATCCAATTCAATCAACGCGAAAGAGCAGGAGCAAAAGGGGAATAAAGAATAAAAAGAGTGAGTGAATAAAATGAAAGCAGAAACAAAGCGAAAACCAAATCAGAGGAAACAAACAAAGAAGCAGAGACAATAAAGAGAATGTGATTACCTGACAATTCCACAAACACCACTGACCAAGGAGGAAGACCAAAAAAGAGCAAAAGTAGAGAATAAAATGAGCAGAAACCATAACAAAACAATCAAGAGAATCAAATAACAGAAGAAAGCCACACGCACGGAACAAAAACAGAGGAAACCCGAAAAAGACTAACATAGCCAAGCAGAATTACCAAAGAATTTAAAGGAGATAAGGGACAACACAAACCATAAAGGAAAAGAGAAAAACCAAGGCAACCTATACAATGAATATTAACCTAGAATGCCATAACCTAGACCCACAAAAACCACAAAATCTCACAATCCCCATGAAGACCGGTTAAACGGAGAAGAGAGAGATGAGAAAAGGTGAGCAAAAAAGAAAAGGAAATGGGGATCTACAGTAGTAGAAGGGAGGGAGCAACCGGGAAGAAAAGAGAACAACGTAAGAGAGGAAAAAAGAAAAAAAAATCCAAAATCCCACTATCAACCCACCATAACCGAGGCCCAAGCCCGGAGAAAAGTCCAAACAACAAACAGCCTTCAACAGAAGCACAAAACTATACAGAGCAGCTACCAATTACAACACCCCATATGTCAAAAAAGTCAGAGTAAAGAATACAATGTAATCATGAGAAATTGTCTTTAATATAGTAGATAAGTTTTGTCATTTCTCAGCTTGCCCTTAAAAGGGCATCCTATTATATAAGTTTTAAAATATCGGTTTAGTTTTACTTACCAAAAGTATAACGGGTGTTGGAAATCGTCACTATCTCTTGCCATAGTCCAATCTCATCATATTCTTTTTTTTAGTCTCAAGAATTCCATAGTCATAAATAAAAACAAATTAGAGTCACAAGAAATACCTACTAAACGAGTACTGAAGAAGAAGGAGAGAGACACTTCTGAAGTGAAGAGGAAGCTAATTAAGTGGACTCCTCCTCCAGAAGGTACCATTAAGTTTAACTCGTGTAGTGCTTATGATGTAAACACTAGTATTGGTGGTTTTGGGGTTGTTGCAAGAAATCACAATGCAGTGGTCATAAATGGTACTAATGGTGTCTGCGTTGTTGACTCTGCTCTTAAAGTAGAAACTAGAGCCCTGAAGGAGTCTATCCTCCTAGCCAAAAGAATGAATATAGCTAAAGTTTAGTTTGAGATTGACTCTTAAGAACTAGTAAATGCAATGGTCCTTTCGGGTCATAAGCAACGCTAGGAATTGGAAAATGAGGTTCCTGATATATATTAGACGATGGTTGTTGGATTTCCCTGGTGCTGAAGTCAAGTTCATAAGAAGAGAGGGTAACAAAGTAGAAGATTGGGTCGCTACACATTCAAAGTTAGGGCTGTGCCCTGATGGGTGGGTTTCACGACCTCCATCCTCACTAGTCTACATCCTAGACAAAGATGGCTTACCTGCTCCACTGTGCTGATTTGTTTTTTGTAATCTTCTGTTTGGATCTAGGTTTCTGAGAATACTTTTCGGGTTTCTCGTGTTGAGTCTAGGTCTAAGAAAGATTAGTGATTGTATCTCCTGGTTTTTAGTGATAGCAATAAAATAACCTTTTGTTTTGGCCCAAAAAAAAAATACCTACTAAAAAAAACACAAAGCTGAATTTTTAAATTTTGACAATTCAAAATATATATTTGAAACAAAGTCATCATCTTCTTTTTTTTTAATCTAAAAAAGAAAAACCAACATCGTAGCTGGGGTAAACAAAGCCCTCCTCCTGGTTAACTTGTCTGCAACTTGATCACGCATCAGGGGCATTAGGGCTTGAACTTTCCATTTCCTTTGGAGCGTCCTCCTTCACCTTTTGAGCGTCATCCCTCAGGTCATCAAAGTCCTTCTTGATAAGCAATGCAATCGTGTTCTTACAGTGGAACCTACATTGAGAATTGCATTGGACATTTAGAAGTAAATCCCCCTCCACGCATTTGCCTTGAGAGAACTGATAAGGGTGGTTTTGCCCCAGTCCATCAGGCCAAGTTTAGCTGTAGGACGTTCCTCCCTCTCATTTTTCTCAAGTGCAGCCAAGTTCTTCAATGCCAAATCCTTCAAAACAGAGTCCAAGGAATGGCACATCTTTATCGCCTCGGTCGTCAGAGTATCTTTAGCCTCTTGTGAGGCAACACCCCTTTGAAATAGCTCGACAGTTTCTTCAGAAAGTTTGAATTCAAATGTAAGCTCTATGATTTCCGGTCTCTCCACTGTGAGGTTGAGCCCTTTCTCTCTCAAGTCTCTCAAGAGCTCCTTTTTCAATCATTCCTTCCATTGCTGCCGGCAGCTTGACAGAAATGTCGGAGTAGTAAATGAAGTTGTAGAGGAGCAGATTGAAAGAACTTGCGAACCAAGGATGATACGGGGCTAGCTCAATTAGGCTAGGATTGAGTTGCAATCACCAATACCCGAACCTTTCAAGTGCTTAAAGTGCTTAAAGTTGCACTTCAAAATCCTAAAGGGTTAGTGTTTGGGATGTATTTAGGCTAACTAAGGGTCAATTCTCAAAGGAATTGAAAGATTAAGCACACGGGCTCAAATATCTTAAGGATACAGAAATTACCACCAAGAGGATTTAAACCGGTTGAAACTCACCACCAAATGGAGCTCACTTGATACAGAATACACCACAAATGAATTCCAAAAGATGAACAAGCTTCTATTACTCCAAATCAATAAGAGATACAAAATTTCACCACTCAAATTGACAAGGAAAGTTTGCAAGAACCTAGACAAGGTTACAAGCTTGAACAAGAGTTCAAAGTTTACAAAAGTCAAGTCTAATGAGAATAGTGCTCATTCGTAGCTTATATACTAGGATTAGCAACTTAAACACACTTAACTAAGCTAATAAAACAAGTTTAACTTAACCAAAACATATGCTTAACTTAAACAACCCGAATTAGCTAGAAACATGATCTAAGCAAGTATGAAATGGATTCGGATTGTAGGCAGCCGAAATACACCATTCCATGCACAAAATGATGATGTCTCCAACTTGTCTTCAACCAACAAAATCATCCAACCAAAATAGAGTACTTCACCACAAGGGTTTTCCATGCCTTCATTTTTGACCGAATGGTGTCAAGCCTTGATTGGATGCTCACTTCCATGTGTCAAACTAGGATTGGTGCTTGCTTCCACCGTGGCATCTACTTGGAGAGGTGCTAGCTTGGCTCCAACGTGGCTTTCAAGGTCCCACCCACCGTGCCATGTCACCAAAGCAAGCTGCTCACATGGCAAGGTGCTTACTTCACTAATTGGAGTAGTTTCACCCGAATCATCATGTTGGAGAAAATGGGACACTCGCGTGTCATTCTCCCCCAGTTGAAAAAGCAATGAAGTATCTCCATGAATATAAGAAACAAGATCAGAAATGTTAAAGGTAGGAGACACCATAATCCTCGGGCAAATCAAGCTTGAAAGCATTATCTCTGAGCTTCTCAATGTTCTTAAAAAGGCCATCTGCTCTTGGTTTAAGTTTTGCAAATAGACCTTGGTTGAACCTTCCCTTTCTCAAGTGAATCCACACCAAATCACCTACATCATGTTTAACAAACTTACGGTGCTTGTTGGTTTGTTGTATGTACTTGATGTTTTGTTGAGTGATCTTCTCTCGGACATCACTATGGAGCTTCTTAATCTCCTTGGCTCTAGCATCTGCGTCACTACTATACTGCCCACTAGAACAAGGAGTTAAATCCAAAGGAGTAAGAGGATTAATGCCATAAACTACCTTAAATGGAGTTCTCCCAATGGAAGTGTGAAAAGACCGGTTGTAAGCAAACTCAATTTGTGGTAGAATCAAATCCCATTGCTTGATGTTCTTCCCCACATAACTCCTCAACAAGCTCCCTAAGCTCCTATTAGTAACTTCAGTTTGCCCATCGGTTTGTGGGTGATAGGCCGAACTGAATTTCAAAGTACTCCCTAGCTTCCTCCAAATGGTCCTCCAAAAATGGCTAAGGAACTTTGTATCCCTATCCGAGACTATGCTTCTAGGAACACCATGCAATCTCATTACCTCCTTGAAGTACAATTCGGCAATGTGACTTGCATCATTTGTCTTGTTGCAAGGAACAAAATGAGCCATCTTTGAGAATCTATCCACAATAACCATGATAGAGTCTTGGTTCCTTTGTGTCCTAGGCAACCCGAGCACAAAATCCATACTAACATCCTCCCATGGTGCATTAGGAACCGGTAATGGAGTGTATAGCCCACTATTTTGGCTCCTTGTCTTGGCCAAATGACACACATGGCATGATAGGACATGCCTAGCAACATCCCTCTTAAGTCTCGGCCAAAAGTAATTTTGTTGCACCATGTACAAAGTTTTAGCCCTTCCAAAGTGCCCACTCAACGTTCCACCATGAGCTTCCTCTATAATAGCCAACCTCAAAGAACAACGAGGTACACACAATCTATTAGCATAAAACAAATAACCATCAACAAAAGAATAAAGCTTACTAGGGTCATGATGGCAAGATCTCCATGTATCTCCAAAGTCCTCATCATGCTCATACAACTCCCTAATAGCTTCAAACCCCACAACTTGCACTTGTAGTGTAGTAAAAAGTGTGAACTTCCTACTAAGTGCATCGACCACCACATTTTGAGCCCCGACCTTGTGCTTAATGGAGAAACTAAAAGATTGCAAAAATTCCACCCACTTTGCATGTCTCCTATTAAGCTTGTGTTGTTGATTGATGAACTTCAATGCTTCATGATCCGAAAACAACACAAAGGGTTGTGGCAGCAAGTATTGTGACCAATGATCAAGTGCCCGCACCAATGCATAAAACTCTTTATCATAAGTAGAGTATTTTCTTTTGCATTCATTTAATTTTTCACTAAAGAATGCAATGGGTTGCCTCCCTTGGCTCAAAACAGCCCCTATGCCCACATCCAAGGCATCACACTCTACTTCAAATGGTACATTAAAATCAGGCAGTTTTAAAGTTGGAGCTTTGGTCACTCTCTTCTTCTACTCATTAAAACTAGCTTGAGTTTCCTTAGTCCAACAAAACTTCTTATTTTTGAGGCATTCGGTGATAGGAGCAACAATAGTACTAAATCCCTTGATGAACCTCCTATAAAATGATGCCAAACCATGGAAACTCCGAATCTCTTGAATTGACTTAGGAGTAGGCCAATTCAGAATTGCTTCAACTTTCCCACTATCCATTTTGACACCATCACCCGAAACAACATACCCCAAAAATGCAACTTCATGAGTGAATAAATGACACTTCTTCACATTAGCAAAAAGCTTCTCATCTCTCAACAATTCAAATACTTTTCTCAAATGCATAACATGAGCATCCTCATCAGAACTATAAACCAAAATATCATCAAAATACACAACTACACACTCACCTACACAAGGCTTGAGAACATGGTTCATAAATCTCATGAATGTGCTAGGTGCATTAGACAACCCGAACGGCATCACAAGCCACTCATACAAGCCATCCCTTGTCTTAAAAGTTGTTTTCCACTCATCTACTGGCTTCATCTGAATCTGGTGATATTCACTCCTCAAATCAATCTTGGAAAACACCTTTGCACCATGTAGTTGATCAAGCAAGTCATCAAGCCAAGGAATGGGAAATCTATAATCAATGGTGATCTTATTGATGGCTCGGCTATCAACACACATCCTCCATGAACCGTCCTTCTTTAGCACCAATAGAGCAGGAACTGTACAAGGGCTCAAACTCTCTCGGATCAACCCTTTTTATAGTAACTCTTCCACTTGCCTTTGTAGCTCCTCATACTCTTTAGGACTCATTCTATATGCTGGCTTATTAGGCAACACCGAACCTGGAATGAGATCAATTTGGTGTTGAATATCCCTCAAGGGTGGAAAACCAGCTGGAATTTCATCCGGGAACACATCTCCATATTCATCAAATAGTGGTACCAATTTTGGGTGCAAACCCGAACCCTGCACATCACCATTCATATCAAAGATAACCAAAGCAAATGCAATAGGCTCACCTTTAAGCTTTCGGACCAATTCCTTCCTAGTCATGAGCAAAGATTCCCTCTTTGGTGTAGGAACAATATTTGGCTTCAAAGGAGCCAAAGTGATCTTTTGGCCATCCTTCCTCAAAGTGTAAGTATGAGCATGACCATCATAGATAATAAGCCTATCATATAACCAAGGACTCCCCAACAACAAGTGACAAGCATCCATGGGAACAACATCACACTCAACCTCATCCGAATAGTATTTCCCAATGGAAAATGATACAATACACCTCAAAGTCACCCTCAAATCCGACTCATCTTTTAACCAACTAAGCTTGTACGGTGAAGGATGTGGAGTAGTCTTCAACCTAAGCTTCTCAACCATTTCCACCGAGGCTAAGTTCTCAAAACTCCCACTATCAATAATCACCATACACACTCTGCCTTGGCATGTACACCGAGTATGAAACACATTCTTTCTCTTCCAATCTTCACCCTCTACCACTTGACTCACCTTGAAACATTGTTGCACCACAATGGACTCTCCATGATCGGCATAGGTGAGTTCCTCTTCCTCCTCCTCCTCGGGTACTTCATCACCCTCTTCATGATCATCATCATTATCCTCCACAAGAGTAACAACTCTCCTATTAAGACAATCCGCGGCCATATGCCCAAAACCATGGCATTTGAAGCACTTCCTCTCTTGCCTCAACTTGGCTTTCTTGGCATCATCACCACCTTTCTTGCCTCTGTCCCTCTCATCAACTTTCGGTTTAGGAGCAAATGGAGACTTAGAAGTAGTCCCCTTGCCAAAATCTTTACCTTCAAACCTCATGACAGATTTTGACTTCAATTGCCTCTCAACCCGCAAGGCAAACTTAGTAACATCATTCAAGGACCAATAAGGCTGCAATGAAACAACATTAGTAATATCAACTCTCAAACTCGCCAAGTACCTTGCAATTGTTTGCTCCTCGAGCTCACTAATGTTTGCCTTGATCATCAAAGAATCAAACTCAGCTGTATAGTCCGAAACACTCATAGCACATTGTTTTAGATTTTGAAGCTTGATAAACACATCTTGCTTGTAGTCCTCGGGCAAGAATTTCTTCTTCGATTCTCGGACCATCTTGTCCCATGTCCGAATCTTATCTTTTCCCCTCCCTTCTCTTTACTTCAACAAGTTCTCCCACCACAAAGATGCATGTTTTCTAAGCTTGATAGCAACAAGCTTTACTTGCTTATTTTCGGGCACATCTTGATATTCAAAGATCCTTTCCACCGTATGTAACCAATCAAGAAAATCATCTGGTTGCCCTTTCCCATCAAATTCTGGAATCTCAACTTTGGGAGTATAAGCATGAACATAGGTGTTTTGAACTTCATCTTCATCTCTTACTCTTTGTACTTGCCGATTTGCATCACCAACATCACCAACTATATCATTTCTCCTTTGTTGTTGATGTTGCCTCCTTAAATGAGCTCTTACATCATCCGGATGCAATGGTTCACTAGAGGTACTAGAAGCGCCACTACCTCGGCCTCCTCTTCTAGTATGAGAGCAAAAACTCCCTTCACTCTCTTCACGGCGTCTCTCTCTTTCTTCCATCACATGAAGCCTTTCTCTTAGTGTTTCCACAAGGCCTCTAAGGTTTTCAACCGCATCATTTGGAGCAACTCGACCCCCATCATTTCCTTGTTGAGACATGATAAATCTCCGCACAACCAAAGCTCTAAATACCAATTTGATATGGGGCTAGCTCAATTAGGCTAGGATTGAGTTGCAATCACCAATACTCGAACCTTTCAAGTGCTTAAAGTGCTTAAAGTTGCACTTCAAAATCCTAAAGGGTTAGTGTTTGGGATGTATTTAGGCTAACTAAGGATCAATTCTCAAAGGAATTGAAAGATTAAGCACACGGGCTCAAATATCTCAAGGATACAGAAATCACCACCAAGAGGATTTAAACCGGTTGAAACTCACCACCAAATGGAGCTCACTTGATACAGAATACACCACAAATGAATTCCACAAGATGAACAAGCTTCTATTACTCCAAATCAATAAGAGATACAGAATTTCACCACTCAAATTGACAAGGAAAGTTTGCAAGAACCTAGACAAGGTTACAAGCTTGAACAAGAGTTCAAAGTTTACAAAAGTCAAGTCTAATGAGAATAGTGCTCATCCGTAGCTTATATACTAGGATTAGCAACTTAAACACACTTAACTAAGCTAATAAAACAAGTTTAACTTAACCAAAACATATGCTTAACTTAAACAACCCGAATTAGCTAGAAACATGATCTAAGCAAGTATGAAATGGATTCGGAGCCGAAATACACCATTCCATGCACAAAATGATGATGTCTCCAACTTGTCTTCAACCAACAAAATCATCCAGCCAAAATAGAGTACTTCACCACAAGGGTTTTCCATGCCTTCATTTTTGAATGTGTGAAACTAGGATTGGTGCTTGCTTCCACCGTGGCATCTACTTGGAGAGGTGCTAGCTTGGCTCCACCGTGGCTTTCAAGGTCCCACCCACCGTGCCATGTCACCAAAGCAAGCTGCTCACATGGCAAGGTGCTTGCTTCACTAATTGGAGTAGTTTCACCCGAATCATCATGTTGGAGAAAATGGGACACTCCCGTGTCAAAGGACATTTCGGGAACAATTTCGTGAAAATATGCAAAACCTGGAATACGCTTTCGTGGAAGTACGCAAAACCTCCTTTCTATTTTTCTTTTCTTCCGCCGCACAAGAAGCGCTCTTGTAAGTCCTCATCATATTCATTATCAAAAAAATTCACTCCTCCACTAAAGTCAATATCTTCATATAAGGTGCCTAGCTACCACCTACAAAAACAAATTTCAACTGAGGCGTTAAATCATATTACAATTTAACTCAACATAAATTTTTTTGGCTTAGTGCTCAAAATGGCCCCTCAACTTACACAAAACGGCCAAATAAACCCCTAAACTCTAATTGCAGTCAAATAAGCCCCTGAACTCTTAAAAAATACCAAATAAGCCCTTTTCTGTCGGCTAAATACTGAAATAAGGACTAAACGTTTCAAGGAAGTACGCAAAACCTCCTTTCTATTTTTCTTTTCTTCCGCCGCACAAGAAGCGTTCTTGTAAGACCTCATCATATTCATTATCAAAAAAATTCACTCCTCCACTAAAGTCAATATCTTCATATAAGGTGCCTAGCTACCACCTACAAAAACAAACTACAGTTGAGGCGTTAAATCATATTACGTTCTAACTCAACATAATTTTTTTTGGCTTATTGCTCAAAATGGCTTCTCAACTTACACAAAACGACCAAATAAACCCCTGAACTCTAATTGCAGTCAAATAAGCCCCTGAACTCTTAAAAAAGGCCAAATAAGCCCTAATCTGACGGCTAAATGCTGAAATAATGACTAAATGTTTCAAGATTTTCTCAAATAAGGATCAAATTACACAATTTCAACAAATAAGAATACATACTTAAT